TAAGAACTGAGATGGGGGGAAGCAGGTGGCATGGTGGTTAAGGTGCTGGACATTCCCACATGGTCAACCATGGTTCAAGTCCTGGACCTGGTGGCTTGCTTTCTCACTTTTCCTTTCTCTCTCTGTGTCTCTCTGGTCAAATTAAAATAAATGAATAAGTAAAAATTAAATAAATAAATCTTTAAAAAAAAGGATTGAGGGGATGGGCCCCCATTTTGTTTGTTATCTTGTAGAGCTGACCTCCTGGTGCCATTCTTTCTTTTGGATTTCATGTCTGGCAATAATAATGATAATTGATAGTGGCCACTTACATGTTTCAATTACTGTTCTTTTTTTAAAAAAAGTTTATTTTAATTTTATTCATTCATTCATTCATTCATTTTTAAATTTGACTATAGAGAGAAAGAGAGGGAAATTGAGAAAGCAAGCCACCAGGCCTGGGACTTGAACCATGGTCAGCCATATGAGAGTGTCCAGCACCTTAACCACCACACCAGCTTCTGGTCCCTCAATTACTGTCCTAAGTGTTTCACATATTAAATCCTTGCAACTACCCTGTGAAGTAGGGAATATCACAATTCTAATTTTATAAATGAAGAAAACTGAGGCAGAGAAGTTAAGTGATTTCCCCAAGCCACACATCTGTGAAATGGTGTAATGGAATTTTTTTTTCTTTTTCTTTTTTCTTTTTTTTGAGAGGTTTTTGCTATAGGGCACGTGCACTCACCAGAGAGACAGAGAGAGACAGAGGGACAGAAAGCGAGAAATCACCCCCCAGGGAGGATGGCCATGTTGCAATCCCTTCTCTTCCCTCCTCTCGGGATCTTGGGCATGCACGCACACGCGCCTGGCGTGAGTTTAAGCCACTGGGTCTGGCACTTGAACCGCGGTCGACTATGTGGGAGTCCAGCGACATAGCCATTACGCTAGCTGCTGGTCCCTTTTTTTTTTTTTCGTGTTTTTACCAATTGAATTTTATTTGTTGTGTAATAAGTCATCTTATATCTTTCAGTTGGAAAAACTGAATCCAAATAAACACATTACAAAATGAATTAAAATGTTTTGAAGGCAGGACCACCACAGTTCTCTTCAATTAAGAAAACGGTTTTTATGGTCCAGAGTTCTTTATTTATTTTGAACACTCATCGTGCTATGAATTCATAGGGAATCGGTTCCAGTAGCTCAGGCTCCTTTCCATTGGTTCTCACCAAGTGTGCTTCTCTGGGTGGAGCAGACTGGTGCTTCAGTTGAACCCAGGTACCTTTCTCTTTGCTTCCTTCTTTTTCTGGTAATTTTCCCTCACACATTTTAGGAAGTTGTCTCTGTTCACAGAAAGCTTAATGTGTTCAGTATGCATATTATTAATTTTCTTGCAAGAATTGTGCCCTTATTTGTTTACAACAATGCCAACAGTATGCTGGGAACATTGTAGGCTTTTCCAGTGTTGCTATGGTAACATTTGTGGGGAAATCTTTTTTGAACAGTGCCCATTCTCTTGCTGTCTACAATATCACGCTTCTTGTAGATTCGCATGTGTGTCACCAAAGGAACGACTCCATCTTATCTGAAAGGCCTGGAGGACACACA